AGTGCTGGTTTATGAGAGATTTACTACCAGAGAATACTTAACCGTCACTTAATAATGAAAAGTAGCAAAACTTATCATGAGTTGCCTGGTTTATTAAATTCTTTATATTAATTACTTCTTTTGATTTCATCTCTTTCAGCCCAACTGCTACTCGAAAGTGGTGGATATACTCGGACATAAACACATCATAATATTCGCTTTGCGACGCATTGTACAAGGCGAAGAGCTAACCTATGATTACAAATTTCCCTTTGAGGATGAGAAAATACCCTGTTCCTGTGGTTCGAAGCGTTGCCGAAAGTACTTAAATTAGAAAAAAAAAAACGAAAGGATCTAATAATAATTATAGTCAAAACCAAATAAATATGGAATAGTAAGAGGGGAAAGTAGAATTTAAATGTGTATGGTTTGGCGGAGAGAAGAATTAAATGAAGCTTAACGGTACCATGCTGTTTAAACTTAAGTAAAGTTTTAAAAGGACGACGCTTTTAAGCATTAAGAATTGTTTTAACCACACAAAGCTGCGTTGCATTAAAATGACACACACACATGGGTACATATGTAAGTGCTTGCATGCGTTTCGCATAAGTGGTGGGCAACAGTAAACGTTTTTTGTTAAATAAAACCTACTACTTTACCATGCTAGTGATAAGCGTTGATGATGGCATTGACATTTTTAGTGTGCAGCTGTGACTTTGGCGGACAAGTTTGATCGAATATGTTGATATTATTGATAGAATTGGAGACATGTCAGTATTCACTAATAATGATTTTTGTTAAAATATAACTGAGCCACATAAAGTTACATATACATATATGTATACCCACACACACACACACACACACACACACACACACACACACACACAAACAACACACAGAAAAACACATGCATACACAAAAGTAACGAAAAGTGATTATAATGGAAATTTAACTTACTTAGTTTTACTGATGTAACTATTAAACTACCATATATGTATATACATACACACATACTTATTTACGTATGTATATGTATTAGTAAGAAAAGCGTAAGGAATTTAAGTATAATGCTATTAAAAACAAAACCTTTAACGGATTAGTTGTGGTGAGCAGTAAGCAAAGAATTAAAGCAGATTTTTATTATGTCTACAAAACGTATTTATTACTAACTAAAAGTAAAACAAAATATACATACATACATACATACATACGTGCATACATATATTTAAATAAATAAACATACATGTATTACAACTATTAACAAACAAAAATGTATGACTAAATGTTATTATTGATGACGTAAATGATAATAAGCCTAATGCTGTTTGACTAAAACGAAAAAGCAAAACGAAAGTAAAAGTAAATATAATAATAAACTCAAACTCACAATTAAGTAACTGTAATAAGTGAACTATGTTTAATAAAATATTATTGCTACAAATATATTTTAATTGTCATTTCAAAGTATGCTTTCAAATTGGCAATTGTCCGAAATTACTGTAACGATAACGAGCAAATTATGAAAAAAAAAACATTGAGAAAGGGTAGAGTAATTAATTTAAATAATAAAATAGTTAAAAAATCAACGTATAGACGAATAGCATAGTGTAGAATAAAGAATGTGCATGTGTGAGAAGATCAGCGAGAAATTAAGAAAAAAATCGTAAAATTTCAAATTTAAATATGTTTGTGTTATTCAGTTTGCAAACTTCGTTAACTGAAATTTCGGAAACAAAAACAAAAAAGAAGAAACAATAATTGAAATAAAACTCTTTACAGGGGAACTTTTTATTAAGGAAACAAAAAAATGTGAATTGTAAATATTTGAGTAAATTAATACATACATATATAAACATACAAATACATTTTTTTATTATAATTTTAATGATTTGTTCTAATGCGTTAAAAGCAAACGAAGAGATTTTTTTTATGTTGTAGCGGGTGTATGCTGAAAAAAGAGGGCGAGACTTAAAAATTGAGTAAAGTGAAGCAAAAGGAAAATGTAATAACAATGTAAAAATTACACAGCCACACAAGCAAAAGATGACGTAAATTATTATATGTATTGTGGCGTGCTGCATCCGAATTTGCTACCAGAATTTTTGCAACGACTCTTGTTTGAAACTTAGCCCCAATTTCCTCGTATATTTCTGCGATTTTTAGGTGTTCTTCGTGGTCAGGTTTGAACTTAGACGAGTTACGCGAATTCTGACAGCAAATTCGTTGACAGCGCTTTGAAATACTTAAAACTACCATTGTCGCGCTCCCAGTTCTTTAACCTTTATTTTTTTGTGTGGCTGTGACATCGAAAAAATTTATGCAAATTATGCAGATGTCGCAAAAAGAAAACAAAAGAAAAACACAGTTGAAACGAGCATAATTTGTAAAGTGTACACATATTTGCTGTTAAAGAAGTAAAAATAAAAATAATTAAAAAAAGTGCATAATCATCACAATCACAATTGAAAAAGCAAATCTATATATGTACACGTGTGAACACTTAAAAGTATTTATTTGCTTAGCACAAGCGAGCATAGTAAGATTTTTTAATATTAAATACAAATAATATTTTTTTAATAATTTTAAATAAAAATACACATATTTTTTAAACACACTGTAAGTACCGCTGTAAATGTCAACACTCAAATGCTCTCAGACTGTGGCTAATTAGGTTTTTATCAAAATTTTAGTGTCCGAATAGTTTCTAAAAATTAATTTTGTAAAACAGGGGAAAAGTTGCACATACAGGATCGGTCATATGATTAGTTCCCCCAATTCAAAGTGATTTTGTTTGCCACTTATGTTTATTTATTTATTGTTAAGAACTTTCAATTAAAATACAGTTCATTTTCTTACAGAACGCATATAACCCGAAGTTTAAAAACTTGTAGAAACCTAAAAAAAAATCAAAAAAAATTTCATCAAAATTTTATTTATTTTTCTTAGAGATGCTCGAATTTTTTTGTGAGTATACAGTTTTATAGCCTACTCAATTTTAGTGCAATAACATGCAAGTTTCAAGTGGCTAAAAATGACCGTTGATTTTTTAGATTTTTTTTCGCATTTGCTTCCATATAACGAATGAACGCAATTTATTTTCATATGGAAGAAAACCATAACACTTTCGGCAAAAAAATTCTAAAAAATCAACGGTCATTTGCAGTCACTTGAAACATGCACATTATTGCACTAAAATTGAATGGCTGTAAAACTGTATTGTACCCAAAAAAAAATTCTAACACTTCTACAAAATTCTAAACTTGGGTTTATATGGGGTTTGTTAGAGAATAAGCTATACTTTAATTGAAAATTCTTAAAAATAAATAAACATAAGTGGCACACAACATCACTTTGGAGAGGGGGTGCTATTGATATGACCGATACTGTACATACATAGCTTGGATTGAAGCTATACAGTAGACTAATATATGCGCAATGCATTCAAAGCAAAAAATATCATTTCCTCGGCCATATGCTGAATAACGTCATCGTCAGCAAAAGAGTCAATACGGCCATCGCCAGCCATTTTACTGATTCGCTGGCGATCATCGACGATGACGATATTCAGTATAGGGCCGCTTGTTACTTGTGTATTTAATTTTTTTTTTTTTATATTAATATTAATCCTTTTTTAATTTCAATGCCTTTATTTAATTGAATCATTTTTTATTTTTAATATGCTTTTATTCTACTTTTCCTTAAATTCTTTATTTTTTAAATTTATAATTTAAGGTAGCGATTTTGTTTCTTTGCTATCTGATTCCTTACCTACCCTCAGACCACCACATTTCACACCACCTGTCACTATCTTTCATTTGTCACCATTAGTAAATGTAATTTGTCTCGTAATACCCGCTTCCCCTACGTTCTAGTTTTTTAAGCCACAATTCTAAGCGACAGCGAAAAAAACCAATTGAAACTTACAATGCACAGCAACAACACAACACATTCAATACGTACATTTGTATTTTTATTGTATTAATTAATTTGTTTAAAAAATGTATGTATGCATTATTTATGTAAACCTTACTGAACGATAAACAATAAAAAAAATCATGTAAAAGCCGCAAAAAACGCTAAATTATTCTTGTATTGTATTTGGTACTAGGTAGTGAGTGCCTACACTTTTTGGCAGCCATTTTTCATGCGGTAGCATTCAAAGGAATTTTAAATTTTTATTCCCTAAAGAAAAAAATTTTACAACAAAAAAAAATCGTAAACGAAAAAGCTACTACTACAAAGAAACAAAAATTTAACAAAATAAAAACGATTAAAATATGGATTTATTAAGTTATAAGTTCTAGTTATATATATATTCCTACATACATACTTACATATATATCATTTGTACGAAACAAAAATTTACAATTTAAAAACAACAAAAAAAA